CAGAATCAAAGATTAAAAATCAGATTTTGTATAAATTATTAACACAAATATGTGAAATATAAGTGGGAAATAAATTGAAAAAAAAAACTGAAAAGAGAAATGAAAGGAGAAAGAGTATTTATATTGGTACCGACCAGGGGCGGCCCAACCAATTTCATGGCCTAAACCCAAACTTTATGATGTGCCTTAGCTTTTTTATTAATAATTTTATTTTTATTTTTATTTGAAGTCTATTTTTTTTAACTTTTTTTAGTTGCAAAGTTATTATTAATTTTTTATAATCAATTTCTCCTAATAAGTCTTTCTTAATTGACAATATAGCTAATTTATTTAATATCTTTGAGACGTTGTTGATCTTAGGTAAGGTTTTATTAATTTTAAGTTTGAAATACTTTTTTTCGCTGAAGCAACGGTAATAGGAGTTATTAACATTATTCTATAAGTAATATAGGCATTCGAAAAATAATCAAACCTTTTTATTTGATTGAGTATATCAATTAAATTGTTATCTTCTAATTGTACTATTTTTCTTAATATTTTTGATTCAGAAAATAAATCTAAACTATTAATATCGGGTTGATTATTATTATTTAAGGAGCTTTCAAGATGAAGACAATATCTTTTCAAATTTCCATCAACTAGTGATCTCAGTTTTAACCGCTAAATAGAAAACGAAAAATATTTTCATATGCCTCTAATTGTTCAAATCTATTTTAAAGCGAAAAAATAACATTATCTACTTCTCTCTCCGGTCCATAATAAGTAATTTGTTGCTTTTATTTTGGTCCAAAATAAGTGTCCTTTTATATAATCGAGAAGGAATTAACTTTATTTTTCCAAAATATGCCCTTATTTATATATCTCAATGTGTTAAGTTAACAACATATAAATTTTAATTAAGGATAATTCAGTCAAAATATATTTTTGTTCTAGGAGTCAGTATTTTCTTAAGGGGCACAACAAAGGTTAAAAAGTCATTTATTATGGACCAGATAGAGTATGTATAAAAAGTAATCAACTCTAAAGGACTCTTCGATAGATTTTGAGGTTTCACTGTTAACATTCTCCTCAAATTGTTTCTTCCTATATATTACATGTTTCTTATGAATTCGGGTTCGATATTAATTTAAAATGCAATTTTCTTGGCAGAAATAAAAGCAGTTGCAATTCCTTCATCTCTTTATTTGTTAAATAAAGAAATCAAATTTTTTCACTTCACATAATTTTTTTAAAAATTTATATATAGCCTATTAGGTGTAAAACAAATGGGACCTCCATAAATGTGGGGCCTAAAATAATTTCTTTACCTGCTTTATGGACGGGCCGTCCTTGGTACCGACGGTGTTAGCGTGATGGTAGAACCCTAACTTTCTTTGGGATTTTGATTTGGGTGAAGGAACTTGTTTTTTTGTTTAGAGGCGCGGTTTTTTTGTTTAATTTGATTTATATTTTCTTACCAAAAAATAAAAGGTACTAAATGGGTTTCTTTGTTATTAAGTCTGGATGGGCTTCTTCGTTCCATGTATGTCTTAATTAAGTTTGTGATTTTTTTTATATAGAAAAAGGAAGAGGTTGTAAAATATTTATAAGCTGCTTTCAGGGAGATCGATCTCGCGCCCTCTGCCTCCGAACGCAGCTCTGAACCTAAAGCTATTTTGTTACTGGGTTCGGCGTAGTATATCTATATAGAAATAATGAATTTTTCAACACAAATACAGGGTTCGGTAAAAAATCACTGGGTTCGCCAGAACCCGTATTCACTACCGCAGCTCCGCCCCTGGTGATCTGGATTTGATTGGAAACTTCACTGTTTGCCAAGGTGTTTCGGGGGTTTGGGTTGGTAAATTGGGATCGGTATGGGCAGATGTTTGAGATGGTGAAGGTGGAGTAGTAACAAATGGGTCTTGAGTCGAAATATGAAGCGAACATGCTTTGGTATTATGATCAAAGCTCCCACAACAGATACGAAGTATATTTAAACCCTCATACATGATGATTTGCTTGTGGTTACCAATGTAGACATGTATTTTAAGAGGTTTTGCAAGAGGAATTTCGATGCAAATACGAGCATATCTACCTCGTGTGGTGGAGGAAGTACAAATATCAATCTTAATGAGATTGCCAAGTTTATTGCTCACTAGTTGTAAGAGTGATAAATCATAGTATTCTGTAGGTAGCTCAGGTAAACGAGCCCAAATGGCGGAGTAGGCAAGCTGGATACACTACTAGAAATTCGGTAAAAACCGACCAACGTTGGTCGGTAATGGCCAAAAACCGACCAAAACGCGACCATTTACGTGTGAACGATATTTTTGTGGTCGAAAAGGAATACTGACCAAAGTTGGTCGGAAATTACCGACCAACTTTGGTCGGTCAATTAAATTCAAAAAAAAAATATTGCAAAAAAAACCGACCAAAGTTGGTCGGTATTTTAATTATGTAATAAAAAAATTCACCATCTGGGAATCGAACCGGGGTCTGTACTGTGGCAGGATACTATTCTACCACTAGACCATTGGTACATTTTGTTTTAAGATTGTCTTTTATTTGATTTATACTCTTTAATTATATTTTCGCACGAAAATAACCGATCAAAGTTGGTCGGTTTTATTAAAAANTAATTTTTATTTATTTTAATTAAAAAACCAACCAAAGTTGGTCGGTTTCTTTAAACATAAATTTTGCGGGACTCAAAAATAATTTTTCGCATTTTTGCGCCAAAGAAAACCGACCAAAGTTGGTCGGTTTCGTAAAAAAAAAAATTAAAAAAAATATTTTGAAAAACCGACCAACTTTGGTCGGTTTTTTGGTCGGTTTTTTGACCGACCAAAGTTGGTCGGTCGACCTTGGTCGGTTTTTGCCGAATTTTTAGTAGTGGTAGTGGAAGCAATAAATTTCGGTTCCCAGCAACGTATCGTAAGAAAATGGCTTAGGATAAACCGGGGACCATCATGAAGTGCATGAAGCATATTATCCTCTTGTGTAAATTTAAAGAGGAAAAAAGCATGTCCAAGATCAATAAGATTGATTGGTTCAGAGGATTTCCAAAGAGTTAGGAGTTTGGTTTTAAGCATTTGATGCCCGATGGATTTGCCAAATAGTTAGATGATGATGGAGTACTTCCAAGGAGGATACAAACAAGCCTTATCGTGAGCTGTAAGGGGAATAAAATCCTCGGTATCATATGGGTTATCCACTTCATCATTTAAGTCGATATCTAAGGGTATGGGTATAGTATTTGGTGGGAGAAGATCAATTGGTGTAGGTGTTAGTAGGGTTTTTAATTAAGAAGGAAGATTTTGGTGGAGTTGTAGTTGAAACGTCCAGTGGCGGACTTACGTTGGTTCAAGCGGGTTCAGTGGAACTCACTTCGTAAAAATAAATCATTAAATTTATGTGAAAATTATTCTTTTAAGAACAAAATGTTGGATAAATATATTAAGTTGAACCCGCTTGATAGAGAGAGTAGTTAGGTGAGTTGGTTCAAGCGGGTTCATAAATATGTTAGGTTAGTTGCAATGACCCTAACAGAAACAGTAGTTAGGTGAGCTGGATCAACTGGATTTAGAAGGTAGGAGAGGTTTGAAGTTCGAATCTTATTCTCATTTTGCTTACCTTATTCTCATTTTGCCATAACCTCCTCACTATTCTTTTTAATTATTTGTTTTGATTTAGCTAATTTTCATTCCAGAATTCTTATACTATTAAAATTATAAATCTACTTTAGTTTGTATTTTTATTCTCTATTGTTATTGTTTTTTAATAAATTGTTTATTACATTGGTTATTTCAACGCTTGTTAATCTATTAGATTTAATCAATATATAGAGTTGGTTGTTTTGGTATAGATTGAATTGATTTTGTACGTTAAATTAAAAAAAAAAAAGGTTCAATAAATTGTCAAATTTTACAAAATAAATAGATATGTTGTTCACTTTTATTTATTTTATATTATTTAGAGCTCAAATAAACAAAGAGGTCATGAAGCAAAATAAAGAGCTGATGGAAAGACTCTAAACACATTTAAATTTAAATATATATTTCAAAACCATCTTGCCAACTTTGGATAAGTGGATAAGATTTGACGCGTCTATTGAAGTATCCTACCTACCAAACTATATTTTAGTGGTAGGGGTAGCAAAACGTGATTCATCAATACACACGCCATATTCAAACATATAAAATTGATAAAGTGAACATGATTTAAAAAAATCAAACATGTGGGGGGCTAATTTTTGCTGTAAGAAGGGCAGCAAAAGTATCAAAAATACCAACCCCCACTACTCAACCTGAAAGCAACATCTTTTTTAATATTCCAAAGCAAGGCAATAATTTCAAACTTCTTATTGCTATCTTGATAATAATTAAGACGATATGTTGACCCCGTGTTACTTTTTTTTTTTATATTTCCTTCTTTATCTTTAAGAACAAAAAAAATCATACATATAATAAAATAATTAACAATCATCTTAAGGTGCTTGGATAAGATTGGATGCATGTAGTGATCAAATATCTAATTTACACCATCGAGGACTGTGGTGAGGGCTGAAATTCATTCGCCTTAATCACAAATTCTGGTTCAAATTCTGAAAATGAAAAATCTTTCAATAAAGAGCAGTTTAATTACCTATCTGACACCAATATAAATCAGTTGGGTTAGTTAGTTGGAACACCGAATTGTTAATTTTTTTTATAAAAAACTACCTAACTAAATCATATACTCACGGTGGTAGGGCTAGCAGCAGGATGTACAGAAAAAACCGACAAACCGAGACTGAAAAATCTGATTTTTGTTGGTTTAATTTGATTTATAGATTTAAAAATTCGATATAATTGATTTGGTGTGATAATTGAAAAATCCGAACCAACCCGATCTATGTACACCCCTATCTAGCCGTACGTGATTCAACAATTTGCCTTTTGATTATCCTTTTTGCCAGCACAGATTACAGTCAGTGCACGCTACATTACATTTATCAAAATTCAGTAATGTTAAAACAATTGAATACACAACACATATTAAGATATAGACTATTACAACATCACCAGCCCTTTAGTATATAGCATGAAAGTACTAATAACTCTTGATATGCAATATCACAAACTTTAAATCACATTACAAATTCAAACATACAACCAATGTAATGACTACAAACACTAATAAATGAAACAGCCTATCCAGAATTCTGTACTGAAGCACACAAGATTCACGAAAGCTTAACAAAAAAATTACAACTTTAGAAGTAACACATCTTGATTCATAGAAGTAACACAACTTTGGAAGTAACACATCTGGATATCCCATTAGCAGAAATGAAAGTTCCACATCTTTACCTGTCAAAAGAGTAAAGTAGGAAAAGGATCTCAAGATATGTCTTTTTAGCAAATTGAAAGAATACTCAAATAACAACATGTATACCGGTGTTTACACCAAACCAATCATAACATAATATATGTCTTTTATACTATATAATTGTATCACTTAATTATGGTTAAAAAATGTGTGCTTTAACTTTAATTTATTATTTAATCATGATAAAATAATATAATTATGGTGTAAAAACAAAATTCCATGCTGCTACTCCATCCTTCAAGGTAAAAAGTATTTTTTTCTGATATGTTAGGAAAAGGAAAAAAAAAAGATAAAAAGAATTTCATATATTCAACGCGGGAGGGTTTTGGGGGTGGGGGTGAAGAGATGGTAGAATTTGAGTAAAATTACCATGTGGGGGAAAGATCAGTCATTCTTGGTAAGGACCCAAATAGCATAGATAATACCAGGCAGCCATCCAAAGAGAGTCAGCAAACAACAGATCCAGAATTCACACTGTTTTTACCAATTAACACAAACACAACCATAAGTAACGTTATCAGGTTAAAGTTTTTCACACACAAGTAAACAACCTGCGATTATAATCATAAAGTTTCCAAATTCCCTTTTCACTAACATGAGTGACGATGTTTTAGAGTCATAATACGTCGATGAGCAGTAGTTTTTCATCTTTTACTTCTTAGCAGGGTGTTATTTGTTTTTTTTTCTTTAAATTTTAACAAGACTAGTAACTTTATATATAATGATAATGTAAAAATTATGCGTCACAGATCAACACTGCACGACTTACAGAAATAAAACAGGGAATTGAAGAGGATTAGAAGGATACCTTGCAGCCAAATTTGAGAAAGACACCAAGGGGAGGCAAGATGATGGCCAAAAGAATGTCTATGCAAGTCATCGCACCCATCTTTTTTATTATTCAATAGAAATTACAGAGGGAAAGAAGAAAGGACAAGGGGCATATGCTGGGGAATGGAAAGAGGATATTAAGGACTGGCCAAAATGATTTCTCAACACTAAACAGAAACTGAAATGGGAAAGTGGCTGCTGATATATAGGCAAAGGAGAAACCCCACGTCCATGTGTTGTATGTTTATTCGATAAAAGACGATATTTTTCTATGTTTACTCGGAGGCTTCTAGTTACCTTAATCTCATCACTTCACTTACTTTTCTGCTTTGCCCTTTGTTTGACTAATTCGGTACTCCCCTATCCAGTTCATGTGGTTAAATTGGACTTCGTACGAAATTTAAAAGGGAGTAAAGATTTCTGAAATTTGTAATTTTAAATTTGTATGATCTTATTTTATGATTATAAAAATATATCATTATGGGTAAGAGGAAAGAAATTTAACATTAAATTATTTTTAAATACCAAAAGATGTTTTCTATTTTAGAACAAATTAATAAAAAAATAATATCACATAAAAGAAATAGATACAATTTGTGCTAAAGAGTTCTCAATTGTTATGTCTTTTGTCTGGTTACTTTGAGCATTTGCTTTGTGAATATCAAATTAAAAATCCAACAGCTCATTCTCATTTATCTGGACAACATCGTAAAATGTTTAGGCTGTCCCATGTGGCTCCATGCGTCTTCATTTATCATCATCTTCTTATGGCCGAACACACCAATTGAATATTTCTAGATGGCGCTGCACCAACGTTCCAACTCTCAATGCAGACACTAGCTTGCGAAAAAAAAGGGAAAAAAATTTACACTTGGTATTTATACGAATTAATGAACAAATGACTTGCATATTTAATATACAAATTTATTGTTTAATCAGAGTTAATGCATATTGTAATCTTAATCTATCATTAAATCATGCTAAATTAATACAATTTAGTGTAACATCAAGTATAAGTAAGTATTTTGCTTTCACGGGTGACAAGTGGCGAAATCACATGGCCAAGTGGTCAATTAATCACTCTTCGTCAAAAAAGTACAATGTGTACATAAGTAAAATATTACGTTTTAAAGATATATAACACATATTAAATATCCTTTGTTGAGATTTGTTTTCACTTCTTTTAAATTTAAACATCATTGAGAAAATTCCTAACTTCGCCCCTAAGCTCCGAATAAGTACAGAGTACTTTAGTATAAAAAGGTAATTTTAAACTAAGAACAAGGAATTTGTAATCCCCTTGGTGTTATGACCGTGTAAAAAGGTGGATTAATCAAAATTGAACACTTGCCTCATTTTGTAGACTGACTAGAAGTCTAGAACTAAGCTTCCGTTTTGATGAATAATGCTCCACTGATATGGTGTGACTTTGATCTAATTTATACTTTGTGTTTTCGGAACTCGATATTGACATGGACTTTGGCATTAACATACGAGTATAAACTTCGGATGTACGGGCATAAACTTCGGACGCACGGGTATAAATTTGAAACTTACAAGTATAAACTTGTTTACCCTTAAAGTTGGATAAAAATTAAATTTATAATGTGGTTTCAAGGATATGTGATTTCACTTAATACCGATAGATAAATATGAGGATGGGTAATAGAAATTAACAATAAAGTAAAGCAAATCGGTGTTAGAATAGAACTCGACCCTCGAATTTGGATACCCTCGAACTGGTTGATGCCAGAACAATTAAAGTATAACCAGCTAATGAACAATAGTATAAACGAGAAAGAGAATTATATTGCTTTTTATATCTATCAACCGTGTCCTATAAATGATTAGAACTCCCATTTATATAGTAGAGGAATCCCACTTATGGTATGATTATAATTACAGAAGAAAATCCCATGATTAGCTAATTAACCATTTCTGATTTGATCCGTTCCGACTAGTCACCGAGGTTTATGCCGTGATCCTCGACCAGTCACGAATATCTCGCCTTTCTGTTATTATGCTATCTTCGATCTTGCTCAATGTCTGTCTTATTTGGCTTCGATCGCTACTAGCCTCGATCTCGACAGGTACCTCGGTTCTGAACTCGGTACCTAGTCCTCGTGATTTAGTCTGTTCCGTTACGAGGCCGTCCTTCGATGCAATCTCCCGGTCTCGGTCAAATAGTAAAATCGAGTGGGCCTGGTTTTAACAGTATACAAATAGTCCCCTCATTTTTTGGAGTGTAATGACAAGAAACGAATTGACCCTTCGATTTTTCTACTTCGACCTGTCATGACGTCATCCTCGTAACGTAAGCGACGAAAGTAACCGAAACGTCCCATCTGTACAGTTATCAAGACATTAAATACGCGTCAGTCGATGATCAGCCACTGTCAATTTTGAACCGTCGTTGTGAAATCTATAAATAGCTCCTCTCTTCACCATTTCGAACTTTTACTTTCAAATTTCCAATCTCCAAAGCTTTTTACATCTTCTAAGTTCTTCATCTCCAAATCTACGATTTTCACTGCTAACCTCTTCTTAGAACACCAAATCTTATCATCTCTATCTTTTTTAACTTCAAATCCAAATGGCGAAAATGTCAGAAACTGTTCCTCAAAAGGAAAATGCTTCATCATCGCGGCCGGTCGGCGACAAACACACCGGTGGAGCCGCGCCCTGAGGAGTATGTTCCCGAGGGGTGCGTCCTCACTTCCGACTTTAAGATCGATAAAGCTTCGTCGATTCCCGATCGATGCGAGCCAGTGCCGAGGTATATATACTCGATAACCGAGGGATACATTAAGCAGGTAAAGAAAGACTGCGACTGGGAGGGCAAAGAGGTGGTGATCCCGACCCCCGAAGAGGAAGGGTTTCTAAGTGTTTACACTTACCCTTTCATGCTGGGCTCCCTTTACCCTGTTGTCGTTGATTTTTGCCGTCAATATCAAACAACCCTAGGCCAATTCCATCCTTCCTTTTGGCGAATTGTTATTCTGCTCCGATTCTTTGTGAGCAAAGTCGAGGGGATGCCTTTTACCTCGACCACCTCATCAGGTTGTATAGCCCCCGCCTCTATCGAGGTGGGTTGATAAAACTCCAATGCCGAGATATCAAAGTACTGTTCTCGAGCATAAACGGGGACAAGTACCGAGGCTGGATGGGCCGGTTCATTTGAGTGAGGACTTTCAACCTGATCCCGGCCAAGAATATGCCATTTCCCGAGAAATGGAATATGAAGTGTAAGTACAATCCTACTATTAGCTCCTATTTATTGTTTTGCTACTTTGCTTCTTCTCATCGATATCTTTTTTCGTGATGTAGCGGTCGCTTGGATGCCCAGTGCAATTCCTAACCTTAAGAGCTGGGTTTGGGACCTGGCCTCGACCTCTACGTATGGCGAGCGCTCATGGCGCGATTTATCAAAGGGCCGATGGGAGACCAAAAGTCATGGTAAGCCCCTTTTCCACGACTTTGATTATTTTGTTAAAGCATTTCTTACTTAATTTTCTTTCATACAGGCCTTGGCAAAGATGTTGTCATGAGGCCCTTATCTAGTGAGGAGGAGACTTCGATCCCAGCATCAAAATCGGAGGAGGACAAAAAGAGAAAAAAGACCTCAACCTTCGAGGATACATAACCTAAGAAGAAGAAGGCTCGTAAGCCGAGGAAGAACATCATCCTCCTGACCGAAGACTTTGTTCGGCGTCTAAGGGAGGAAGAGGAAGAAGAGGAAGAAGACGACTCCGGGCTAGTGGCCCGAGTGAGAATGAGCACCGAGGCCCCAAAGGTCATTGAATCAGTGAAGGCTGTAGAGACTCCGTCTCGAGATGAAGGGGTCTCGGGAAGAGACTTGGGCGAAGTTCCCGAGTCCTCGAGGATTGAAGATGCCTCCCACTATACTGAGCCAACGGTGGGTGGTCTCGAGGCCTCTCGAGATGGATAATACGCCCCAAGTGATCCACTTGGGGCAATAGAAATTGGAGGCTCCCCGCTGCTCCCCTCATTTTCTGAGGAGCTGATTTAAGAGGCTCGGGCCTTGATGTCCCTCTCCATCGAAGTAGCCCACGGAAGGGAGGACCCTTTCCGTGATTACTTTACTCGGGTCGAAGATGCTACCGGCCTGAGCGACTTGGAGGTCTCGAAGAAGGACTTGGGCGGGGCATCGAGTCTTTTCAATGAAGCGCAACAAGCTTTGAATCAGGTTAGGCTTAATTCCCATTGTTGGTATTACCCTTGTGTTCATTTCTAACTTTTTTTCTTCTTTCTGCGTAGGCCTCAGTGCTTCATTGGGAAGCATTTTCTCGGTCTCGAGCTGAGCTGAGTCGGTATGAGGCCGACATTCAAAGGCTTACCGAGGAGAGGAATTCCCTCAACCTTCTCGGTGGGAAAAAAGAAGAAGAGATCAAGGACCTCCAAGCCGTAGTTGGCCACGACTCACAAAGATCAGACCGACCTGATCGAGCAGGTAATAAAAATCTTAAAAGCTCATGGGCTCAATTCGAGAATGATGGCTAACATTTCACTCTCACAGATACAGCAGAAGGTCGAGAGGATCGAGTAGTTCTGTGAGGAGATCAACATGATGAAGGCGGAGTCCTTAGGGTGGAAAGAAGGTATGGGATGCTTTGCTGAAGAAAAAGAGACTGCTCGAGCCCAATTATCATCGGTCGAAAGTCAGCTTCGAGGCATGAAGGAGAAGAGCTCAGCTCAGGAAAAGAAAATAGAGGAGTTCGAAGCTCGGTTGGCTTCCAAACTTGCAAAGGCTAAATCTAAAGTTGAAAATGCTAAAGCCGAGGCAAATACTATCGTTGCTGTCTACCGGACCGATGCTGAAGCCGCTCAAGTCCAAGCGAGAGAGGCAGCCGAGACCACTCAAACTCGAGCACATTGGATTGCTAAACTCGCCAAATGCCAATCTTGGAGGGAAACCCTCAAGGAGATCCACACTCGAGGTTTCGATCTTACCAACGAGATAATAAATGCTAGAGAGGATGAAGCTGATGCTGGAGTGCTGGCCTCCTCTAATGATGATGATGACGCCGAGAGGAAGAGCGGGCCCGAGAGCGGAGGGGACCTCGATGGAGAAGAAGCTCCCCTCGGAGAAAATTAGGAACCTTAGGATGTTTCACTTTTGATCTTTTGTGTAGGATCCTGATCGGACCTTGTAAATATTCTCACA